TAGATAATAGAAGTTAATTAATTTGTAAAACATCAACGTTAAGAATCAGAGGAAGATGTTGATTATATCTAATATCTTTAACTTACAGATTATAAGTAAAAACTTGAAGAAGAATTGGAACAAATTGCAAATAAACCTAAAGTTCTAAAGGAAATGATCGATGTCTCAACCTAAACCTATTAATAAGAGTTTCCAATTAGATAAAAGAATTACGATGACTTTGCTTACTCTATCAGTTGCGTATAGCCTACTTATTCTTTGGAAAACACTCCAAAAACAAGTCAAATACTATTACATTCTCTTTTAAAAGAGGAGAAACCAAAAAATAGAGAATGTTGTTCAGATTGCAGAATTTACTGAAAATAAAATAATTTGATAGATCATTTCTTTTATTGCATTTTACCAGTTTATGGTTTAGATTTATTTTCTAAAACATTAAGCGTTCCTATAGTTGGGTTCACATTGAACATTTTGTTGTAGTTATTATCTCTATTAATTAATTCTAATTTAAAGTATTTCATTTGTTCATTAACCTTTTTGATCTCTTCATCTTTCAAATTGACTTAAGATTATAACTATTTAATCAATTCTAAATCTTCAGGTCGACTAGGTCTTTCTTCATATAAGCGAGTTAGTTCTTTATAACTATTATAAAAATAATAAATACTCTTCTTCAAGCATTTATAACTTTTACATTAGTAATTGTTAGGCTTATTCAAATTCATTTTTTAAATTATCAGCAAACTCTTTTTATTTGATTAAACTATCTTTTAATTGTTAGTTTAAAGATTAACGTAATTATTGTTCTAATTATTTAGCTTCATCTTTCATTTATTAAACCCATAAATCCTTTTCTTTTATTTATTTTGAAAATTCTGTTTCTGCTTATTGATATTTGATATTTAAATCTTTAATTTATTACTATAAAATTTTTATTTACTGTTCATATTTTTCTGAAGAGTTTTTGTTTAATTCTAAAGCATTTTCTAATTATCTTCTTAAATCAGAAATTATATCTTTAGTTGCTTTATGATCAGATTATTCTTATTCTAATTTATTTTATAATTATTTCAATTTATTTTCAAATTCTGTAATTTTATCATTTAACTATCTTTCATATTTTTATTAAACATCTTATAATTAATTTTCATAGTTTTTAATCAATGATTATTTTTAATTTTCAAATTCTCTGCTTTACTAATTTAATTTATTTTAAGTTTCCACATTTAAATCATCTTTTATTTATTAAATTTCTTTTTCATAATATACTTTCATTTATTCTTTCATTTATGTATTTTTTTTATCTAACAACTATTTAATTAAATAAGATTTCTTACTTCTATTTCATAATTATGTTTTAAATTAATTTCTTTAAGCATTTATTCAAATTCTTCCTCTTTTAATTTTAATCTCCTAGCCCAATCACCTTATCCTGTTTCCATATCTTTTTTCAAAGAAGTAATTTACTATAAAAGTTTTGCAATTTCTTCTTCTTTTAACTACAATTTTCTTTCAAAATCTATTTTTATTTATTTTTTTTCAGCTTCATATTATGATCTTAAACTAATAAAAATATAAATATGATCATTACCTATCTATTTATTATTCATATGATAATTTTTATTAATTTAATTATTCATCTTTTTCTCTCAATAGATCAATCCTTTATTATTTTATTTGTTATTCTAATTCTTAGATTCTTATTTATAACTATCCTTAATTATTAGAACCTTCCATTTCTATTTTTCTAATTTTATCTTCTAATTCAGAAATTCTTTATAGTAATTATTTAATTTCTTATTCTTTACCTGTTATTTAATTTAAATTATAAATAATAGTTTATTCTAACTCTTTAATTTTATTTTATAAATTTTAAATTTCACTTTCTAATGATGATATTTTAAGATTAGCTTAATTAATTTAATTTTTCAAATCATTAATTGCTTATCCAGCAGATTTTTCTACATTTGCTCTTTCATCATTTAATTATTATTCTAATTATTTCAATTTTTTATTAAAATCATTTTTAATTTATTCAATCTCTTAAGAATGATTGTTTTCTAAATTTTTAATCTTATTTTCAAATTCTTCTCTTAATTCTTTTAATTTTAATTCATATTCAGTAGTAATTTTTTATATTTTTTCTTCATATCTTTTTATTAATTCTCTTTTTTCTGTTTCAATTTATTCAATTTTATTCAATAAATTTTTTTCTAATTCTCCCATTTAATTTTTTGCTTAATTTTATAATTTTTCAATTTCATCTTCTAATTTTCTAACATTTTTCTTTAATTCTTCTATTTCTTTTAATTTATCACTATTACTCCTATCACTTGCATCTCTAACAGCATTTAATTCCATTTAAAGCATATCTGCTTTCTTTTATAATTCATTTAATTTAATATGAAGTTCTCTTATTTCAAAATCTTTTGATTTAAGTTATTATTCTAGATCATTTAATTATCTAGTTAATTGTGTTTCTTTCATTGATCCATCCTATTAATAAGCATGTAATTATTATTTAAGATTTTCTATTTAAGAATTAAGTTACTTTATCTTTTCTTCTAAATCATTATTAATCTATTTTAATTTACTATTTTCATTTTTTTATGTTAATATATCAGTTTAAGATTGTTAATATTTTTATCCAATATCCTTTAGATCAAGAGTCAATTTAGCAATTTAATCTTTAAGTTAATGTATTTCATCTTAAAGATTATGGTTATGTTTTGTTAAATCATCTTTTTGATTTTTAAGATTGGTAACTTCTTATTTTAGTGAATTTATTTCATTTTATAATGATTGCAATTTTTAATCAAAATTTTGCTTCATTAAATCTTATAATCTATCTTAAGCCTCTTTAGACTTTCTCTTTTCTTCCTCTATTTTTTTTAATAAATCATCAATTTCTAATTATTATTTTTGAAGACGTCTATCTTTATCTGCAATTTAATCATCTTATTCAAGTTTTTTTCTCATCAATGAATCATATTTATCTTTCCATTCTTTAATAGTATCTTCTAATTATTTTTATGATCCTCTCCTTAATTCTTCTTATTTCATAATAACTTTATCAACTTATTTTGAAAGATCATCAAATTTTTATTTTTAAAATTCTGTTTCCTTTTAAATTTCTTTTATCTTCTTTTCATACTAAGTTACAAGACCTTATTCTTTCTCTTCCATTCTTTTCCTATATTATGAATATTCAATCTATGCAGTTTATTTCTCTACTTGAACTTTTTCTTGAAGTTGTTTTAGTTCTTATTAAATATCATCATTTTTGCTTTATTTATCTAATGCTTACTTATAAGTAAGAACAATCTGATTGGCACTTAGAAATAAATATGAATTTGATACTCTTTTACAATCTAATCCATTTCTTATTCATATGCTTAAACAACTGCTTTGAGATTACTTTCATATTCATCATTTTTTGTGTTTAAAAAGAAGATAACTTTAGTGAGTTAAGCAATCTTTTTGCAAAGTCGATGGTGAAGTTCGCCTAAGTCCATCAGTTAATAAATCAAATTATTAAATTGGATATAATAATAATCATAACTGCAGTAATTTGAATAGAATCTAATCTTTTTCTTAGATTTCTATTTTATAATTATTCTTTACTTGAACTCTACCTTATATATATAAAGGATTTTATTATATAATATAATTAGAAAAGAAGAAGAAATTTAAATTATAATTTATTGAAGTGCAGGAACATCATGAACTTTAATTTATTATTATCCTATTAAATATTTTCTTTATTCTAATAAATTTTTTAACATTATCATTAATAAGAGAACAACTAGTCTCATACATAATTATAAACATTGAAATATTTTTGTTCAATAATTTAATTTTTTTGAAATTCTTATTAATTTATGAATAATAATACTATAAATACTTTAATTAATATTCATCATTTAGAAAAATGATTATATTTATCAATATAATTAATAAACAACATCATTTTTATATGAGAATTTAGAAACTCTTTTAAACTAATATTATATTATGAATGAAAATTCTGATTTTATGTTTAATTGATTATTAATCATTATTTAACCGAAGTTGAGTTCCTTTAAACAACATATTTGTAGAATACTGCAATTGCCTCACCCACACCCTTAATTCTTTCAGCTTCTTCATTTTGTATATCTAAAAATTGATTTCTTAAAATTATTACCAAAACCAAAATTTTCTTCCAAAGCTACAACCATTTCAACTGCATCTAAAGAGTCAAACCCTAATTCTTCAAATGTAGCCTAAATATGAAATATCTTTACTTTATCTGATAATTTATCAACTTTGCATTTTGCAGCAGATTTCATTACTTAAAGTACTTTTGCTGTAACTTCTTCTAATAACTCTTTGTTTTAGATTGTTGAGCAGAATCTGAAATTTCTACATTAGAATCCCATTGGGTTTATAAGACGAAGAGCTCTAACAAACATTATTATGAATAATTAGATTTTATTTATGGATTTTGTAGTTGTTTTAGACTTATTTTTTATATTTTCTATGTCATTTATTACTTCAATAAAGAATGAAATTTATATTGAATTATAAAAACTACTCTATTTTCATTCTTAAAATTAATACTTTTTACAAAATTATTATTCAATATAAGCAAGATTTATATTGACTTATTTTGTTAGACAAATAATTTTATATTTATTATATTATTTCTATTAGTTTATTACAACATAATTATTAATATTTATACATCAAACATTTATTTCAATTTTATTAACATAATTAGATAATCATTTATTATGAATCATTTACTAAAATATATAATATAACAATTGAATGTTAATGATATAATGAATATTTTGATAATGATTTTTTTAGGTTTAAAAATAATAAATTTCAACCACTTTTAATTTTTGAAAGTTAACTTGATTTGAAATAAAAAATAATATAAATATCACAAAATGAAGGGATTCTGTAATTTTTAGAAAATTCTTCTTCATTTTAATAGATTGAATACATAATCAATGAAAGTATAGCTAAGAATGTAAGAATATTCTGAAATTTTTTAGAGCTAATTAATAAGTGAATAAACAATTCAGATTTAGTTCTTTAATAACTTCATTGTAATACTTTACATTTAATAAAACAAATACAATTGGAGTAATCGAATTATTGGAAAGTAATTAGTTTAAAATATTGACTTTAGTTAACAAGATTTTAATGTAATTAGAAGTAGAGAATTGGATTCGAAAAGGGAATCAAATTTGATATATTGTGATATTTATTATAGATTTAAGTCTTATGTTATTCAACATGAAAAAGTTGTTGATATTTAGTTAGAATTAATTTTATGAATAAAATAACTTCATCAGATCGACAATAACACACCCATTATGTAGAATATCCTATGAGATGGGTGTAATTAGGACTCTTTTTGTTTGCACTGCTTTCTAATATCATGTTTGGATTTTCATTATCTCCAATAGTAAAGGAGATGTCAATCATCTATGATGTAGATAGTAGGTATATATTTATTTATAAAATAGATATTTGTAATTTTTAACAATAAGCTTCACAGTATTTTCAGTAATAATGATCATACCTGGAAATATTATTAATGAAAAATATGGAATTAGAATTAGTATAATGATAGGTATGATAAATAACTAATTAGGATGTATTCTTACATTTATAGGGTCAGTCAGTGCAATGCTAATAAATGTTTCATTTTGGTTTTTCTTTTTAGGCTAATTATCATCTTTAATAGGATTTCCATTTAGATTAATAAGTGCATCTAAATTTGTTGCAAATTGGTTTTATCCTGAAAAAAGAATATTGATTATGGTAATTATTGCATTGTGTTTCAATGCAAGTTCTGGAATTGCAATTAAAATCCCATTAATTATTTTGGGAGATTATGATATTAAAGATATACATACATAAGCTGAAATTGATGAAGGTAGAAGATTGATGTAAAATTTAATGATATTTCTATTTGGTTTAATGGTTTTATTATGTATTCCACCAATATTCTTTTTTAAAAGTAAAGCACCTACACCACCTAGTTTTACAGCTTCAGATGTAATTAATATAATTTTAATTATAGTAATGTATAAGAGTTGATTATAGAAAAGCTGGAATAATTGTAGCCAAGAATTTTGATTTTATGTATTTAACTATTGGATTTGCATTTATATTAGGAACTATTACATTATTTACATTATAAATGGAATATCTTATTAAACCATTTGATTATACTTTAATGGATTAAAGTAATTTAGTTCTTGTAGGTGTAATTGCTGGTTTAATAGGAGATATTTGTGTAGGAACAGCAATAAAAAAACTTAAATCTTTCAAATTAGTATTAAGAATTTGTAATGCTTTAGTAACAGTGTTATTTGCTATTTTGATTATAGCAATACATGTGAATAAAACATTTTTCTTTATTATGTATTTCCTTGTTTGTGGATGTTCAGCTATTATGGCATTAACTTTTGAATTTTCATGTGAATTATGTTTTCCTATGAGTGAAAATACTACTATAGCTATGTTAGGATTATTTGGAAACCTTATTAATTTTTTGTAAGGATTGCCAGAGATCTTAATATTAAAAGTAAATGTCAATATAAATATTTAAAAGGGTGATAACAAATTTTGTTCTACTGTAACTATGGTATTAATGTTTTGTTTAATTGCTGGAGCTAATTATTTTACAATGAATGTAGATGAAAATTTGAAGAGATAAAAAAAAGATTTTTAAGAAGATGATGAGGCAGAAAAAAGAGAAAATGCAATTAGTATGTTAGAATAATCTATTTTAAATTGATTTAATTTAAATATTCCAATAATAATTTAAATGTTGAAGAGATTCTAATATATATAGAATTTCTTATCAATACATATTATTTAATATATTATATATTTAAAATAATATAAATTATTTTTTATTTTCTGATTTTAATATAAAATTCTAGTTAAAATACTATATAAATCAATTTCATTTAAATATTTAGATATTGACTATTAAACATTAAAACATGATTAAATCGTTAATTCTTAAAAGCTTAAATCCATTAATCTATATATTATAATGAATAATAAAATATTATAAGAACAATTTAATAATTTTTCGGTTATTGTTACAAATTTTGAGACAAATGAAATAAGAGAAGTTTTATTATAAGTGTATGAAAATGAGTAATATGATTTATATTTCTATTTATTGTGTACTATATATTAGATAATATATCATCTAAAATAATATAATGCTCTTGCTGTTAAGCCTTAAACCTTTGATTCATCTTCAGTCTATTAAAGCCAATATTCTTCAAACAAGGCTCTGTCTTCAGGTTTGGATGCATCAAGCTTTGTAAGTTAAAGATACTCGAATGTTGGATGATCTTTCTAGAAATTTCGAATAAATTAATACCAAATATTATGGGACATCAACTCCTCTCCAAATCCAAGCACCACTAATTTCAAGATTTGGAACATCTCCATAAACACCATGAATAGCAAATGCCCATTTCTTAAAGTGTGGATCTGCTCTTTATAAAAATCCATTGCAATTGTTTCTAAAGGAAATGAGAACTTTTCCTTCACCTTCTGCCTTAATATATTTGACAATCCAAATAGACCATCCTTATGAATCAAAGACATTCCAGAAGTGTTAGAATTCAGCAGCTTAGTCTTTTGATGCTAAGAATTATCTCTTCCAATCATCAATATTGAAAGTTGATGGTGGTAATGTATCAAATTCACAGACTTATTTTTTTGGTTTTTCTTCTTCATCATCATCAGCCTTTTATGGTTTTTCCTCCTTCTTTGGCTTTTCTTATTTTTATTATTATTATTAAGGTTATTTCTCTTTCTTTTCCTTCTTCTCATGATGTTCATGACCATGGTGTGCAGCAAATTACAATGCAGGGAATGGCTTCCTTGTATATCTTGTTCTTCCGAATAACTAAAAATTAATTTTTTAAATACATCTAAGAAAGCTGGAAGTTCTGATACTTATTTATACCATCTGACAATGTTCACTAACTTAGCTCTATCATCATCTCCATAAAGGAATTAGAATATTCCTTAAAAGTATGAAGCTAAATTAATATCAGCTATTGTTAATTGATCACCAACCAAGTATTAATTATTGGCAAAATGGGCTTCCAATACTTTAAATTTCCAATCCATTTCAGCATGAGCTTAAGTAGCTTAAGCTGGATTGATTGGAAAATGTCCAAGGACTGGCAATAAGAGTTAAATCAATTATGGTTCGATTTCTCCAGATGCAAAGTCTAACCATTATTTGACTTTGGCTTATTGGAATTCATTAGCTCCAACTAAAGGAGTTCCTCTGACTACATATTAAAGGATAGCATTGCTTTCAGTCAATACTCCTTCTGGGGTCTCTAGGACAGGGACTTTGCCCAATGGATTCTTAGCTAAAAATTCTGGGGTCTAATGTGAATAAAAGTATTTTATACTTCTAAATCTTTCCATTCTAAGAGTTGGGAAGCAACATCAACATTAGCGAGTTTAGCAGCTACAAGAATTTTATTTGCTCTAGGATTGCCAGAGATATAATTAAGTTTTAAAGACATCTTAAATCTTAAATTTATTTATTTCAATAGTAATTAAATGACTTTGTTTTCTACAATTATTTTTTTTCATCTAAACAATAGAATAAATATAAATCTTATATTTCTTTATCTATTCAAATAAAGGTATAAACTTAATAGAACTGTATTTAGGCTTTCTCTCTTGAAATATAGCTAACAGTATGAAAAATACTTGTAAATATACACAGATATAATTTAATCAGAATGACCCTGTTATTTGACAATTTCCTAAATACAAGCCATTCCTAAAAGATAATATTTTATTATATTTATAATCTTCTTATGATAACAAACAAGGTTTCAGTATTTAGTTTGCCATACTTTGATTTCCAAAACTAACATATTCAATGATTATCTATATAAATTTTTTATCGATATGAATTATTTACAAATTGTTGTAGGTTTTCCTTTTAAACATTCCGATATTTACGTATTTGCTTTTTATTTAAACAACTACTTATTTAAATTAATTTATAATAATTTACTTTTAACTTTAAAAATTAGATGATATTAAGAGGACTCTGATTTTCATAGAATTACATTAGATTGTTAAAGTTATTAAAAAGAAATTTTATGTAATATTTTATTATAATTTAAAATAACAAAAGTGAATTAAAAATTATTTTTGTAATCAACAACCTGTCATTGAATCTAAATCTATTAAACTTATTTTGATTTAATTTTTAAAATGTTCAATTCTATTTGTTAATCCATAATGAGATAGAAGAAATTTGATAATTGCTAAAACCAAACAAGTGGATTTGTTTGAATCTATAATTTCTAAAAAGTTAATATACGAATCCATAATTCTTTTAAAATTTTAATCATCAAATTAAATTTTCTTTTTTTAATAATATTTATTCTCTTGAAGCAAATGAACTAAATTTGATTTAATCTTAAAATCTTCTGCTTCAAAATAAAACTCCAAGTATCTCACTTATTATTAATATTATTCAAATATTTTAATTGTGACTTTTGATTTTGTTTAGGATTATATATATTTAATTAGATTTACACATATAAACATAACAACTTGGAAAGATGATTGAAAAGAACATTATTCTTGTTTAAAATTAATTTAAATTGATTTTTTGAATATTTTCTTGAGTTGATCTTCCACTTAATTAATACTGACTTAATTTCTATTTTCTACATATTTACTGGCATTCAACCATATAAAAGCTGCATTAAAGTAATTATAATCATCTATTAAGTTATGAAGATTAGAGTATTTAAAAGAGATTGCAGTTGTAGTCTTTTCAATAAATCGTAGAGATTTATTAGTTAAAGATCTGAAATAACTTTCAACGGCAAGAAATTTTTTCCAAATTTCCTTATTTTTTTATTTCTCATTTTAAAGAATCATTATAATCATTTTTGAATCAGATAAATAATATTCCACTAATTTTACTTTTAAATATCTTCCTGTTTTTTATTAATATCCTACATATGTATAATATAAAGAATCCTTAAGACTATTCATTGTATCAAATTTGCAAATTTTAGTGCTCAAAAGTTATCGAAGTATGTCTTCTAAAGTAATTTAACCTGATTAAGTTTTCTATGAACTTGTTTATTCAATTTAAGTCTATTTTTAATATGAATTATTACATTTCTTAAAAATGAACGAAATTCTTAGTTATTTTAAATCATAAATTCAGATTAAGCAGCTTTAGATTACTGTACTAAAAATAATTAATCTTAAGATTTATCAAATTGAACAAACATAGTCCATTTTTTAACTATTTTATCCATAATTTAAAACCATTTCATATTTTCTCTATATTTTAAAAAACTTAATCTCTTATTTCTTTCTTATTCCCTTCTACAAAAAAATACTACCACAAAAACAATAAATATTTAAACAGTGATATAGGCTCCATTTGGACTTGAAAAATCAAATCTAGATATATGCCAAGCCAAAATACCAATCATTGTTATTGTCTAAAAACACAATATTGTTCCTTATAAATATATGCCTTTTTTAATGAATCAATTAATACATATATGACTAATTGCTGCAAAGAATCCATAATACCATTAATATTTGTAATACATTTATGGTACATCATCCTAGTTTTAGTTCAATGTGAAAATATTATAGATGATTGTCACAGTAATTTATAAGAAAGGGTAAACGAAATTGGAAAATTAAGGATATTTACTAACAAAATATCTTGATATCATGACGGGAAAGCCACAAATAAGACCATACAAAGCATAATAATAATTTGATTCACTAATGAAAGACAAAATAATAAATGTTCCAACAAACTAGAAATAGTTATTTTATTTACCAAAATGAGGGTTGTTAAAGTCTTATATTCATTTATCATATATGGTTAATAATTTAATCTATATTCTTACTCTATTTCAGGGACAATAAATGTGAGGAACATTTTATGAAGCATTTTAGTAACAAATAATAAATAATGATAATTGAAAATTAAAAATTTAGATCTTTGAAATTAATTCTTATCTTTTTATAAATGAATTAAGTTTAGAACATTTAAGAATTCATTAAACAATATTACATTATCCATTTTATACTTATTCATTAATTTTAATATTTAAATATTAATGTTCAGCATAATTGATTATCTTTTTATAAATATTAAAAAAATATAAGGGATCATTTAAGTAAAATAAAACTTGAAAGTTTTTATTGGTTAATTTTTTAGAAATATAATAATTTATTTATTATAGAAAATTAAATCTTCATATGCAGTTTTTATTATTTAATGAATAAAAACAAAAATTATATATTATCATTTTTTTAAATACAATTTATTTATATACTTATGTAACTCAAATCTATAATTCTTAAATTGATTAATTTATTGTTTAACAATAATTTGCTTACTCTTGATTTTCAGTTTAATTCTTAGTTTTTGTTTTAGTTTTCAATTTGTGAATAAACTCTTAATGCAATGGATAAATTTATTTTTTATTAATTAAAAACTATATTATTATTCAAGAAATTACCTTCAAAAATTTAGAAGTGATTAATGAATTTGCAATTGATTCTTATAATTCAATTTATTTGTTTTACTTTTATTTTTTAACTCTATTGAAATATTTTAACATTTTCTTATTTTATAAATTATTAGTTTTTCTTTTACTTATTTATAAAATCCATTATTCAATTTCATTTTGCATTGTAACTGGATTTCGTTTTCCATAATCATCCCATATAAATATTTGATTATCCTCAAATGTTGATTCTGTTTCAGGTTCCTCCATTTTTATAAAATTATCAAATATTTAATCCACAGGAAATAAATACTGAGCAATCCCCAAACTTAATTGAAACCAAACCAAATAATGTATTTCATTTTACAAAAGAATCTACCAAATACAATTTCCTATAGAAAATAATAAAATTGCCAACTCTATATAAGTATCTACTTATTCATCTGCTAACTAACTACCTATTGTTGGACCCTTAGAATAACGATAAACTAATAAGTATTTTTCAACCCAATAATTGATGATTATAAAACCTAAAGATATTAACACACCTAAAGGAATGAGTTAAGCATAAAAAAATGATAGCATTAATGTTTTTGTTATTGTTGCATATTTTTTTGATAAATCTCCAGTTTATCCTTCAAAAAGTAAATTAGCTTCCCTTTAAGTTAAGGCACAATTCTATCCCTAATTTTATGATTTTCTCATTAAATATTATCTATAAAAGAAATATGGATCCAATAAATTAAATAACCATGGAAATATGGCATTCATTATTAGAACTAAACAAACATCAGATATTAATCCACCATCTTTCCAAGTTTATGTTAATATATCTTGATCATTTAATGCTATATTTACTAAAAGTGGTATAATTGCTGTATTTATAAATTAAGCCTATTTATATATTTAATTATTACTATCCCTAATTTATTAGCAAAACTTATATTGAATTCTGTCTAAGTTGAATGCAACTCCAATGCTACAAACTTTTTTATTAATAATCCCATTAGATTATTTAGTATTGAAATTATTAAAGAAGCTAATAATCCAAAAACTGTTATATACAATTCGATTGAAGTCGATCTGCTGCTTTTATCAGATTGATTTAATTTATCCTTTAATTATATCATTCAATACTTGATATACAGAAACACCCAATATAGATCCAAAACATATGGCTAAGATAAATAACGACCCTAAATTTGTTAAAATTTAATATTTAAACTAAATTAAAGGGTTAATACCTAAATTTTCCCAAATTACATCTCCTGGCTCTGGTGCTCTAATTACATGAGGAGTTTTCCCTTAAAATGTCTTAGTTGATTCTAAAGGATAGAAAAATAGTAATTTTTAGAGTATATACTAAAATTTAGTTTATGTGTGATATTTCCTTATTTACTTTGCTTAAGTCGAAGTATTATATGTTATAAATGCTACACCACTAAATTTAAATAATTGAGGATTTTATTGGAATTATATAATTTTAGCATTGATTTCATCCAATTATTATTCTAGATTTTATGTTTATGACCCCATAGAAAGATTTTATCTATTAAATTTCAAATAGATAAATTTACTATTCAGATAAAATTGATGTTATTCTTAATTCATTTTCAATTTTAAGTTTAGTTAATTAATAGTATTCTTAAATATCAAAACCTAATACAATTTATATAATATTTAATTTTGAAATAGAAGATCCATTTAATTTAACTTCTGAAAAGTAATTTTAAATCTCTTATTTGGTTGAGGATATAGGTAAATTACTTATTTGAATGGAGTAATCAGATATTGAGATATTCTTTTCATCTATTTTTGTAGCTATAATATTCAAATGTCTTCTATAATAAATTGAAAAGAAAATCATAGCTAAAATATTACAAATGTCTAATCCTAACAAAATAACATCAGGTTATCTAATATTTTAAAATAATTGAATACCTAGAGCTATTAGTAAGTGAGTAAGTGTTATAATAATTTAGTTTGCAGACAGAAGAATTAATTTCACATTATGCTCCATAATAATTATTTAATGCATTATACAACCCAGATATTAAACTAAAAAATGGTTATGATATTGTTACAAATTTAAGAATAGTAAAATGGCTACAAATATAATGAATTCAAAGAATAATGGTACTCCTGCTCCATTAAAAGCTAACTCTTCATTTCTACAGCAATAACTTAGTTATGATTCAATTATAGGAAATCCACAACAAGGACAATATTCAACATTGTCTATGTTTTCTATCTCTTTCGAATAACTAAATTTATTCGCTTTCTTTGAAAATCATCTAAAATTTATTACTGCATGATTTTTAGCTAATTCAAAGTTTGGAGGTCTTCTGAAAGGCTCATACTCATCATTTTATCCCTCTTAAAGATTCATATCATTAATTATAGATTTTAAAAACATATAATTATATTGTGATGACATCAAAATTACTATATATCAAATGTCTATAATTATTGGTCATTTTATCACAAAACAGTGGGCTTGTTAAGCTATTATCTTATTAATAAACTTCAGTCTTAAATCTTTCATCGTCTATTTAATATAGGGTTAAGTTCTTAAAACTTTCTCACAGAATAAAAGAGAAATATTAATTGATAAAATTATCTCTATTCTAATAATTCTAGGTTCATCATTGTAAATCTAATGGGCAAAAAATAAAAATTTTTAATTTCTTACATTTAAATCAATCTTATATTATAATTATATCTAAAGATACTAATAATATCTAATTTTTTATCAATAAAAAAATGGCCAATAAAATATACTAATGTTTTATTCTTTTAGTGTGATAATCTCTATATTTTGTATTAAAATATCAATATTAAGAGTTTTTAATTGTTAATATAATAGTGCCAATTAACTTTAGATCATTTTGATAATCTATTTATCTATTTTAGATAATAAGTATATTTCTTGATATGATTTTTTTAATCTGAATATTATTAAATTCATGTTTAAAAAAATCAAATCACAATAAATAGATTATTATTATTAAAATAGTATGATTAATTGATTTTTTCATCAACAATTGTAATAAGTTTTGTTGGAAATTAATCATATTTTTGATTATTTGCTATAATAATATGAAAATTCTAAGAAAATCAATTTAACAAGGTATTTTTAATATCTTTAGATATCATTAATAAGTAAGGTGATAGATTTAAAAAAGATACTAAAGTAAAGCAAATAGTCTTAATAATTTATATTATAATTTATTAATTATAATAAATATTAAACTAATAGTGATTTTATAAAAAATAAAATAATCCATTTAATTATAATGAAATAAATCAATTTCATCTATTATTATTAATGGTCATATGTCTAAATTGTTGTTAATCAACTTTACTTATAAACTATGATGAGATAAGTTCTTAGATTGATTTAATTAATGATTAGGTTGTATATATAAATATTTAAATTATATGAATCTAATATACTAGAACAAATGTAATAGCATTTTTTTAAGTTGTAATAAATTTCTAATATAAATATTGTTCTTCTTAATGATTTGAGATTACATTAATTAATATAATGCAGAGTTTGTAATCTGATCTAAAATATATACGTGATGCTCTTACTTTATTAATCGATAAGCTCATACCTTTTATAGAACAAAAGCAAATACTTCAATTTTGCAAGGCATTAAAAAATAAAGTATCTGATGATAAAGTGACTCCCTTCTCAATTTACATAGAAACTTAGAAAAATTTCGAAACATTTTAAGTAAAACCAATTAAATTGAATAATACAACAGATGAGAAGTTTACACTTTCAGTTCTATGTAAATTAAGGTAGGCATAGATTGAATTCAAAAATAATACTCAATAATTCGCATCAATTTATAATTCAGTAAAAGAGAATGTCGAATCTGTTTATGTCACAAGTTAAGAATTATAAACAATGATGAATGAAAAATAAATATAAAGTAAAGTGGAATAAAGATAAGATAAAATAAGAAGAGTCTCAATTTATAGTAAATAAAATAGGCAAAAAACAGATAAAGATATTTAAGAAGAAATGCCAAAGGAATATAAAAATGAGATAAAATAAGAGTAAAATAAGGAGATCAAATCTGATACCAAAAAAATTGGTTAAAAAAATGATATAAAAGTTGATACTAAAATAGAGAAGAGAGATGAGGTCAGATCAGATTCAAAATATTCTTTCGAAGGATCTAAAAAGGATATCTTTACTACTTAAGATATATTATAAAACTAAAGGATTAATCATCAAAATTAATCACAACAGTAAATTAAATTAGAGAAGCCCTAATCTTAATAATCTCCTATGAATTATTAATAAGTGAAATCATAGAATATATCACCTTAACCATCATTTAATTATATTCATACACCACCTCATTCATATACATAGGTCCCTTTATAAAAAAATTTTCAAACTAGCAATTTCACTTATGTTCAATAATAATCATAATAATCAGGTTAGATTTTATTTACATAAAGTGATTAAAAATAAAATTCTTAAATTGGATCCTATGTTCCAAATTATGATTTATTAGCTAGAGTTGATTAATTACTTTAAAAGACTAAAAGTAATATTTAAACATAAAATACAACTACATGCTTAACAAATAGAATATGATTTTATAATTATATAATTTAAAATAATAAAAAATATTATTTTATAATATCATAATTAATATAAAGCTCTCATTGGGGCATGATTAATAAAGAAATTTAATAAATAAGCAATAGGTGCTTTTGTTTAAGCTATCATTTATTATAGTGTCCATGGATATAATATAATTTTGAATATAACAATTATTGGATCAAATAAAACATGATTGGATAGATAAGATATTAAAAATTATCTAGCCCAATTATCTGCAATATCTATTTATAGTCCAATAACATTATAGAAATAAAAGATACTAAAAAAATAATGAAATTGATAATTTACAAACATCCACCTAAAATAGCTACAGTTAATATAAATCCAATGATTTTTTCTTATATCCATCCATTTAATTCAGCTTTTACAATAGCTAAAAAGAATACAGATATTTCACCAACAAAAATAATCAATAAAATGTGTTCAATTTGATTCAAAAACTTAATAGTATATGAACTAAAAACAAACATTACCATTAATTTCATATATAATTATAAAACTCTACTTGGTCTTGAAAACTTTTAATCATAATATAAGAAGATACTTAAGAGTTCATGTAATTTCTAGTATTATTATTAAATTAATTACTATCATTCCAGTTATAATTAAATCTGCAGATGTATATTTAATACCCATTTCAACATTAGTTTAAAATATAGGTTCATATTAAACAGCTGCATTATGAAAATCATCAGATTATTTCTATTTTTTATTATAATTTTTATTAAATATAGTCAAACTTGATTAATCATCTTCTTTAATTGATGATTCATATAATTATTTACCATCATATTTTTCAATTTCCTTATTCTTAAATCTAACAGACAATACACTAGATTTCTCTGGAAAAATAGTAGAAGATTTAATTTTAGTAAAATCAGCTGATTTATCAAATATCTTTTACTCTATATCATCCTAATTACCATGTTCACTTATAATTATTGCAGATGATACAGGAAAAACAACCTTTGAAGATCTAAGATCTAAAATAGCTGTTATTATAGTAAATAGAATCATAATTCCTGACATTATTCCAATAGTTTAACCAATAACTGTAAGATGCATATTTTCTATAGTAACAAATTGAATCTCTCTTAAATCTACAGGTATATATTATTCCATTAAAATTACATCACTAATATATTTACAAATGCAAGTATGTTATGAAGTCAAAACAGATTTAGTACAATTATCACCAGTGAAATTAGAAATAATAGATGCACATCTAGTATTATTTTCAGAATATTCAGTTTAAAAGGAATGTTTAAATTAAAAATGTTCAAATTATAAAACTATTTAATAATCTGATCCATTTTATACAATAAATTATGGACTTATATATTTTAATTTATTAGAATATTAATTCCATTTAGCATATTCAAATATTTATTATTTCCAATAATAAGGATTTACAGAAAATGTTATAATAGAAACTAAATAAATATAATTTGGATTAATTTAAAATGTTTCAATTTCTGATAAATTTGTAAATAAATCTCTATTTTCCCACATATAAATATTTCTTCTTGCTGCAAAATTACCATTATCTGTTTTATTAGTAGTATCAATTTAAACTTCAAAATTAATTGTGTCATTATTGAGATTCCAATATCCACTAAATACTGGTATAGCAACTGCATCTAATTTCTCATTTTAAAACATACTAACATAATAATCATCTTAAGATAAATATTATAAAACTTATTTAGTAGTTACTCTAGTAAAAGATATATTGAAATATTTAAAATTACGATAAATTACTTTACCATTTATTTCACAATATGAATTTATTATAAGATTCAAAACTTAAACTAAACTTATAAGTCTTGTATAACAAATGTGTATCAAATCAAAATGATCTAAAGTTAATGTTGATTCTTCAATTAATTATGTTCTAAAACTATTTATATCATCATCTGTAGAAACTAGATCTTATTCTTCAACTTATTTAAGTAATCTATTTTTATTGTTAGTATCTGTTAAATTCAAAAACAATTCTTTTAAATAATCTGTAGAATTAACCTCTGTTGTATTAGTATTTTTAGCATCACTAATAGTATCAGGATTATCAATAGTCATTCTACCTAAGAATGTATCAAAAACATGATGATTATCATCTATTACTTAACCAATAACTCCATAAATTGATTTCAATTCTAAAAATAATTCTTAAGCTGTAACATTTCCTTTATATTGACCAGCAATCATAGACTTCTCATTTATTTATGTTAATGATGTGAATTTAATAATATCTTTTCTAATTTCAGTTTAAAATGATATTAGATATGATAATTTAAGATCTATTGAAGTTTCACCAATAAATTTTATTCCTGTTGATTCAATCTATTAAATATAAATATATAATAATTACTAAATATAGAGCTTTCTACATCATTATTTAATATTTATCTTATGTCTTAAGCTGAAATTATTCTTTATATTATTCTTTTAATTTTGTTAATGTTTCGTTTACATTTTTAGCATAAGCAATTTTATTATCAATAGAGAATGAATCATATACATATTTCAATATTAAAGAAGAACTCATTATTTTAGTAATAGAGGTTTCAGAAATAAGTGATGTAAGTATTTCATCAAAATTATAATTAGATGTTTTTATTGTAACATTTTAAGAAATTATTGAAGTAGCTCCCAAACTATCTTTTAATTAACATACTATAGTAAATTATCCTGGAGGTAAATTTATAGAATAACTATTAGATTCTATATAATCTGTTAGTTCATATTCTCCATTAATTGATTCAATATTAATGGATTATCCATTAAAGAACCAATATTTATAATAAATTGGAGTATGTGTTTCTTAAACTGAACTTACAATTATATTCATAGTATTGGTTTCCTCAATAGTAATCTGACCATTTCTTGGAGGATAATTAATACGAAAAAGTATTTCATATTCTGCAGGATCTATATAGTTCATTAATGAATAAGTGAAATGAATTCTACAAATTCCAAATTCTCCAGCACTCACAAAATCTGGATAGTAGTAACTTGCTTAAAAACGAAGTCGAGGGTATAATTACTAAAACTTAGAGACCTAACCGTCTAAATATATTGCCACTTATATTTTTGAATCATCTGGTGATACTCCATCATCTAATTAGATAGTGAAATCAATCATTTCATCAAAATTAACTAATCTGGATAAAATTGAGTATGGATAAGATATATTTAAAAAAGGTATGATGTTCTAATTTATAATTACAATAATTACTTAAGAGAAGTATAATATAACAGTACGATTAGCTACATAATCTCCAGCTATTAAAGCAGTAAATTCATAGGATCTCTTAGGATATAATGTTGATTCTGGTATCACAACTGTATAATTAAACTTGTCTAATTAAAGTAGAGATTCATCTGTTCTTTTACATGTTTAATTCAAAGTCAAATCTTAACAATTCCATGTTACTGTTAAATTCTTTAACTAAATATTCATTAAATCTTTTTCCATATTCCAAACAAACAGATTTATTTATACTTTTTCTTTCCAAAATACTTGTCTATTTCCTTATTAAATCAATGAAACCCAATTTGACTTAATTAAAACTAATTTATACTTATTCTTAAGCTAATAATATGCATGCTTGTTAGAGTAGGAATAGTATATAAATTGATATACTCATTTCAATTATATAATTATTATATTAAGCATATAATTAATTTCAATTAGAATTGTATAAGTTTATTTAATTAATCATTTTTTAAATGGGTTCTTGTTAAGGTTCAACAGTTGATATTCAATAAGATTTGAGAATGAGAGAAATCATGACTAAATTTTAAGTTCCTATGCCATATATTGATGAATATAAAATATTTTAAACTTTAAAATAAGTAGAAATGTAGTTTGTTAATATTATTATTTATAGCATTTAACATAATAGTATTCCTCATTTTGATTTAATTTATTCAAAAATGGGAGATTCATCTAATAAAATGAAGAATCTTGTTAAGAAATGGAGAATGAAACATGAATAACATAATCATCCAAATTTATTATCAATTCATAATGTTTCAATTGTTGAATCAATGAAATTATTTATACCTTATACTAATATTATACTTCTAATAGACAAACCATTACAACCTTTAACAAGACATAAAAAAGTTATATTGAAATAACCATTTTCATAAGATGAGATATTATTCTTATTAGATTGTGTAGTCTCTGGTTTAGCATTTTAATAGTAAAATAAAATTTATCCATCTGGATTTGATATTGATGACATTATAACTGTTAAAACTCCTTTTAATACTGAAATTTATAAGTTAGTAGATAGATATTAAAAACCTATTCGATCCAATTTATTTTAAGATTTCATTTAACTATATGATGATAAATAAAGTATATACTATTTTTATTCATTATTTAGCTTTGAATGAATTAAAAAAAACAGCCTTTTTTCACCTGCTCAAATTGAAGCTATTCCAAAAAAAGACAAGGTATCAAATTCTTTTTTTTTATATTTAGTATCTTAAACACAATAGATATAAATCTGATGTATTTAATTTTGCACTCATATTGATTTATTTAATATAAGCTAAACATCCAGAAATATTTGATTGGAAGAAATGGACAATTGATGATTTTGCATTGAGAAAAACTTAAGATGATCTTTTAGTGACCAATTTTGATGAAAATTTATTACATATTATAGAACTTATGTTAACAGTTGAGGAAGATAAAAGACCAGATTTTGTAGAATTAGATGAGATCGTCACTAAATTATTTTCAGATCTATAAATGCAGCGTTTATAAGATAAATATTAAATACAAGATTTTTTTATTATTCCTATTGATAAACCATCTGATTTCAATATTTAGATTCTTAATGATAATATATATCAATCCAAATAACCATAATAATTAATTGGGTCATAAAATTTATCATAACATTAAAGAAATGATTCCTAAAAAGTTAAATAAAGCGACATAAGTTAAGCTTCTATTCAAGCTTAAAAAAATGAAATTAATAATAACTTATTTGATAATAATATAGTTGTAACTTAAGGGAAATTACATTATTCAAATGGATTTTATTATGTTGGTTAAATTTGCAATAGGAGAAGACATGGTGTTGGAACTTACTACAACTAAGATAACCAAAAAGTTTCTGAAGGCAATTGGGTTTTTGATATACCTGAAGGCGATGTTATATTATATAATCATCCAGAAGAAGAAAAAGAGATGAATCATATTAATATGTCCAGAAAAGATTGGGTTCAGTATAAAGGATAAATGAAACAAGGTTAAAAACATGGAATTGGAGTTCTATACTTTTCTGATGGATCAAAATTTATGGGCAATTTCTCTTTTGATTAAGCACATGGAAGAGGCTAATTTGAATATTAAGATAAAAAATAAATAATTGGAACTTGGTAACATGACATATTCAATGGTTGATTGAATTTTTGTAATTATTATTGTTATGAACTGCATCATTAAATATCGAGATTTTATTAATATTTTATCTAATTTAATTAGGTTTTATATGTAAAATAATATACCTAAACTCAAAATAAAAAATCATTAAAAGTATTAATAAATCAATAAATAATATAATGTAAAGCAAATAAGGTCAATTATATCTATTGTCTCATAAGAGTTCTAAAAGTGAATACATTAAAAAAACAGTCAATCCCTTAAACTATTCAATTCCATGCATAAACTGTGATTCTCTTATTCCAGCTATTGATGTTGATAAACATACATAATTATGTTAAGCCCATTCTCCTAAACACAGTTCTTAATTTAAAGATCAAACAGCTATGGAAGAAACTGATTTAAAGCTCAAGAAATTAAGATAATCAATAATAATTTAATGCAAAACAGAAACAAATATATACAATAAGAAATATCTAATAAGAGCAGAAGAGCTTTGTACTTAAATACTAAAATTGTAGAATTTTGATGACAAAGAATAAAGAAAAATATTAGATATTTCAGAAGAAATAAAAATGATAACTGAGTCATATAAGGGAGTGTTACTTGTTCAATTATTTTTGGAAAGATTACATTCTTTGACATTGGTTAAATAGTAGAATATGAAATCTATTATATAAGAAAAGTAATAATTGGTAAACAATTAATAAAAAAAAATCATTCAAGATCTTGATAAATAATCATTTAATATCTTAATAAATAAGGAAGAGTAAAACTATGTTTAATAATGTCTTGGTTATTAAACTTAAACTAGTGCTATAAATCTGAGATAAAATGAAATATTTCGTAAGACTTAAATCACTAAATTCTCAAGAGAAAATTAAAATAAATCTGGATGTGAATTAAAAAGTGAAATTTTAACTAAAATTTCTAGTTCATAATGTGAAGAAGAAGTTCAGGGTATTGATGATACTCAAAATAATAATAATTATTAGAGGTTATTTTATTCAAAATGTTTGAACTTGAAGGCTTAATTATCTAATAATGATCCTGCTTAAAAAATTCCATTATGTGTGTTATTTAAAGAAGTTCTCAGTAAAAGGATTTCAATTAACTAATGGAATTAATTTATTTTATCAGCTTTTGAAAAACCTTCATAATATCTAGAATTTTAGAAATCTACTTTGCTTAATTAAGCATCCAAATTTTAAAATTCAGTTAAATAATTTACAATTAATAGTAATTTCAAAGAAAGATTAAGAAATCTTAAAATAGTATGATAATTTATTATATATTTAAATAATTCTCAAATACTATCTTTAATAACTTAGACAATCAATATATCCTTTTTCTCAATAAAACTACTTAATATATGATTTAATTATAAACAATTTTACTTTAATTTTATTATAAGTATTTGTTCATTTATCAAAATAATTTAGTAACTATTCAAATATTACATTATGATATTATCGATAATTATATTTATTAGGAACTGTTTACTAAAATATAATAATCTGAATCAATTTGAATTTATTAATAAAGCGAATAATAAAATATTAAATATTAGGGGTTATTAATTAAACTATAAAATAAGATTTCATAATATATATAGTGCTTTAGATGATTGATAGAAATTTAATAATTGATTAGTAATAGTAGCTATATTCATGAAATCACTACTATAACTATAATACCTTAATGACAATGAAATCATGAGTATCTTATAATTTAAAATGATTTAATAACCTAAGAAAATCTTATAGCTATTATCATTTGATTAATTTACATCTATATTAAAATATTAAAGCCAACTATAAAAATAATAAAATTGTTATAATTTTAAAGATTTTCTTAAGCAAAAATTAATGACACATGGTAATCTTTATATTCAATATTAGTCCTTTATTTTGGAGTAGGAGAATTTGCTCTGTAAATGTAGACACTAACATTTGAAAATTAAAAGTATTATTATTGTTTACCATTTAGATTGTAAAGAATAATTTTCCCATAAAATAAATATTCAAAAGATCCGAACAAAACATCTAGAAAAGGAGAACAAGAGTTATGTTTTATTAATGTACAATGTTGTGAGTAAAACACATTTCTAATCGACAGTAAACTATTACGTTGTATACAGATCAATATAATCTCTGGGGCTTTGGAAGTTCATAGTTTTCACAATTGGGATTATAATAGTCCTCAGTAGTGAGTCCAGTTAACATCTCTTAAATTACTTAAAATTTATATAAATCTGTGAGTGGTGGGACTGGCTATGTTGTAGCCTATTCAACTAATAAGAAACTGTATGTTTGGGGAAATTGGCATTAGCTAAATTATGGAGAAGTCTTAAAACTATCAGAAAAATAAGGCTATTCTGAATAGATTGATTAACAATATTAAATTAGTTGTCTAGATATAACCTATAATTTTTCAATATTAAAGAACATAGAAAATGAAAGAAGATAAAGTTATTTACCAAATCATTAAGCTGAAGTTTTGGCTTTGAAATGTGTAGGTACAACAACATATTTATTAACTCCTAATTAATTATATTGTTTAGGCTTATAATTACAATTTCAGGTATAATTTGTTGGAATTGCTTGTGGTAAAAAACATATATTGGCTTGGGATGATTAAGGAAAAGTATGGAGTTGGGGAGAATTTGCAGATGGTAAATTAGGTTATATGGACTTTATATTGCAAGATTAGAAAGAACCTAAATAAATTGAAAATATTACAAGTAATATAGTATCATGTGCTTGTGGCTTAAATTATAGTATAGCACTTGATGCAAAAGGGGATATATATGGATGGGGCAAAGGACCTTTTAAAATGGATTTGTCAATAGCAGTTACACCTACTAAGTTGTGTCAAAAACAGAGACCTTTTATTAAGATAATGGCTGGAGATTCTCATTTTGGAGCCCTTGATTTGTAAGGGTAACTATTTGGATGGGGAATCAACCAAAAAAATTGTTTAGGAAATTTATAAGATAAGACTAGGTATCCCCAATTATTTGAATTAAAAAATATTAAAGTTATTGATGCAGCAATGGGATCTACTTCTACAGTTTTAATTGTTCCAATTAATGAAAATTATAAAATACCTAATTTAAATATTGATCAATATACTTCACATTAATAAAAAAGAATTAAAGAGGAAACTGCTTTTATGAAAGACTTTGCAGATCGTAAAAATAGACTTGATTAAATCTAATTTAAGTCACCTACTCAAAACTATTGTGATACTCCAATTTCATTTAAAAGTAGTTCAAATTATGAAGAAGCAGTTTTTCTACTAAAAAGAATGAAAAATTAAGCAGATTCTTTAAAAGATAATCAAAGATTTAAACATAGTCCTAGTTCAGTACATTTTACAACTGATATTCCTAATTCATAAACTTAAATCACATATTAAGATTATGATGATGTAACAGCTAGATTAAAGTAATTAGAAAATGAGAATTATTTGTACATACCATTATGTTAAAGTACAACTCCTAATACAAATTAATATATTGATTAGAAAGATGATCATGAAGATCTTTTGAATTATGAAAACGATATGCTTAAACTTTAATATATTCTAATGGTTAAATCTTAAGATGAATCTAAATTATTGAAAAATTTATTAAATGATCCTAAGAAACATTAATAAGAAACTTTAAGTTAATTTTTTTTGAAATAAAGAATTTTGAAATATAAATAGAATAATAGAGGTTTGAATGATAAAAAGAAATTTCATGATAAGTATGATACATTTGATCCTTATTTCTTAACTAATGTGAAAAGGGATATTAAAATTTTAAATGAATAAAGAAAAGAGATTTTTTGTTTAAAATAGAAGTAAAGAGAATAAATAAATAGAGAAATAAGTGAAAAAATGTAACTAACAAAATTACCTCTATAGAATAGAGATGAAATTATTAAATGTATTTAAAATAAAGCTCATGAGAAGGATTAAAGGTTAAAATTAGTGTAATTAAAAAAGAAAGAAAATTATGTAGGGAAAATGAATCTTATATAATAATAAATATTAGAGAAAACACCTGAATTCAAATATAAAAAAAGATTAGATACTATTAAAACTAAATAGAACTTATAAATATTAAATATGATTTTAATCTATTTAAATACTGAAAATATATGTTAAATGATTTAAGAAACAAGTTAACGTGGTTTAGAACTAAAAAGAATGATGTTCAAAGAACACATGAAAGCAAGAATAATTTAAAATACAATTAGAAAAAGAAATGTTATAAAAAGAATCAAATAAAAATTAGGATTGAGATAAAAGAAAATATTATTATCATTTATATTTAGATTTAAAATCAATTTCAGAATAAAGTCTAAATATGGATATCTTAGAAAAATAAATTTATTCCATCTAAAGAATTAATTAATTGTTAAAGTTGCAATAAATCTAAAAACTATCATTATTAAAACAGAAACTATATAAAAATTTTGTAAGTTGTATAATAATATGTTTTATGTTTAATTAAGTTATCTAAATTATAAATGGGATGAATATTTGAAATAATGTTTTAAAGGAAATATGCCAGAAAAAGAAAGAGAGGAAATAAAATAGTATGAACTACCAAATTTGATTGAGAAATAAAATCATATTATAAAAAAATTAACTGCACCATTAAAATTGAAAAATTGTTTTCTAAACGAATTAAAATTTAAATTAAAACCTGTATTAAAGGCTACAGAATTGAAAACCAATTTATTGAAAAAAGTAAAGACTATTGTTTAAATTGATGAAGACCTTTAGGATGTTGATGTTAAGTGTTCTGATAGAGTTCTATTGCCGTATACTAAATATATTGAAAATATAGCATTATCTGTAGCATCTAAGATTAGATTTGATTATTAGATGATGACATAATTAGATGTACATGAGAAAGTATTTATGGAAGAGTTAAATGTTAAATTTGAGATCTTAAAAGAATAATTAGAGAGATTAAGAAGAGATCATTTTCGATAAATGAGAGATGTAAACTATCAAATATATTT